AAAAAAAGAATAAACACCTTCTACTGACGTTCAAACAAAAGGTTAATCTGATAGGAAAATATGCGAATTTTGGTGTTGTTTGAACAGGTTTTATTTTGTCGTAAATCCGATCCTCACGTGGACAAGGAAGTGTGACTTTCAAAGATGCATAAGTTACTTTTAGCTATACATTTTTATACCTCAGATTCTATTAACTAAATCTTGTCGGATGTTTCATCTAACATTAAAATAATTTGAAATAAGCAAAAGATAAAGAAATACAATCTAACACAGTCAGTGATGAAAAGTGAACCTTCAAAACACAGTAACAAATGTTTCAAGTATCATTATTGCATTTGTAAATGCAGGTCCCCTTGCGAAAAAAGATAATCTTTACATGCAGAAACAAAAAAAAAGTCTTAAAAATTAGCCTTTACCTTCAGTAGATTTTTGAGAATTAATAATTATCTATATTGCCAAAATTCTTAAAGATAAAATTTCTAGTTACTTGCAACGTCAACATCTTGTTTTGCTGACGTTGCTATGAGGATATAAATGTTCACACAGCAACTTTCGCGGAGCCGATGCTGGTTTTCTTTTATTCCTCACTTTTAATTAGTTGTTCAATAATTAGTAATCTCTAAGAGACATTCTTTGTAGAAATTTAATTACAGTTAACAAAACGTTCATTCACATCTGTTTTCTATGTATGTGTGTATGACTGTTTGTGCATATAAACACATACATACAGTTGAAACTGTAGTGTGACAGCTGTCTCCAGACTTGTTATTAAAGACAACGTGTCTGAAACATACGAAGAGTTTTTAATATCAACATTATAGCTTCTCCTCTTTGATCTATACGTTCAGAACACAGTCTGTGAAGACAAGAAGCCGTGAAAAATTACGAAATCAAAAGGAAAATATAAGTGGAAAATTTAATATGAACAAGGTTGTGTTGTCACATGACAAGTTAGTTTTTTTTTAATCATCAATTAAGAAATTGAAAAGGAAACAATGTAACCTCTAACGTACTGATGGAAAAGTGTGTTGATTGATACTAGTTAGGGTGATAGGCTTAACGCGTGATCAAAACTTCATTGCTTTACAGTAAGCTAGTGCTAAACCGAGTTGTTCTTGTAGGAGTGTCGCTAGGTTCTTAAAAGATTCAGGGCTCGGGCCCATAGGTGTGGGAATTTTCGGCGAAGTATGATATCGATCATTGTTTTCTATTCTGATTTTTCAAGACACCAAATGGAGGTTTGAGGTACTGTGAACTAGAATCGGGGCACGAACCCCGTGTGCCAGGCCTAGTGACGCCATCTTTACTCTTGTATTCATAATTCATTGTTAGTATAATAAGTTCAGAACCCACAGAGAGAGCAGAGTTTAATGAGCCTATTTGTTTTACTCTATCATCCAGGTACATTACCTTTAATTCTAAAATTACAAATATATACATATAGCCAAGGTATACAGATATAGTTACGGTTACTGTGCTTTAACCCTAAAGCAGTAATATATATATGTATATATTTTCACTCAAAGCCATTGGAAGGCTATATGTACTAGCTTTCCTTAACTTCGAAATGATAGACTAGAAGAAATGTAACTGGTCAACATCATCTACTGCCACTTTCACCAACAAATAGTGGGATTGATCGTCACGTTGTAATGTCTCCACGGCTGAAAAGGCGATAAGTTCGGCGACTATTTATATCCAAGATCCAGATCCAGTAAAATATATATGAGAACACCCCCCCCCCCAAAAAAAAAGTGGTTAAAAAAATTGCTACCTGTCCGGGATCAATATTACAAGCCAATGTGGCGTTGGTACAGCAGGCTAGTAGGTTGCAAACTCTCAACAAAATAGTCTTTATCATCTGTTAACAAGAGTGGTAGAATTTTCCTCTCTCTTCTAGTGAGTGCCCGGCATGGCCAGGTGGTTAGGGCACTCGACTCGCAATCTGAGGGTCGCGGGTTCGAATCCCCGTCACACCGAACATGATCGCCCCTTTCAGCCGTGGGGGCGTTATAATGTGACAGTCAATCCCACTATTCGTTGGTAAAAGAGTAGCCCAAGACTTGGCGGTGGGTGGTTATGTCTAGCTGCCTTCCCTCTAGTCTTACACTGCTAAATTAGGGACGGCTAGCGCAGATAGCTCTCGTGTAGCTTTGCGCGAAATTCAAAAACAATCTCTTGTAGTGTTGCTTGCACGCGTACCTGTAGCCCTCTACAGTTTATTCTGCACTTTCATGTATTACAAAAATATTCCTTAATCTCAATCATAGGAGTACGAGGGATTTTTTTAGGGGGACTGTACAATGTTTGTCCGAACGAAGTTATCAGTAAGAAACTTCTGCTACCAGTTTTTCACGAATGAAGGTGAAAATTGCCCGAATCATCATATTTTCTGCTTCTAATTTTGCCCTAACGAAAACTGAAAATTTGCCCGAATAGCTGTATGTATTGCAAACTAGGTGGGAAGGCTCCCCCCCCCTCTCCTGCCTCGTACGCCTATGATCTCAATACTTTGGTTTTTCTCTGCACGTGGGCGAAACGTTTGAAGCCTTGTGTACTCGCATGAGCAAAGAGTTCAACAAACAACCAGTTAGAGCTCTTGTTGTTCGTCACTCCAAACAAAAAAGAATTACTAAAAGTAGAAGATCTTCCTATTTGCCTTCAATTTTGCTGATGCGAGTCATTCTTGAATGTTCGTTCAATCAAGGGGAATTGCTGAGTGTAAAGTCAGTCACTGCTGTCATGCTCCTTGAGTATCGATTTTTTTCGAACTCAGATATATATATACAGAAAAAAAGGAACAATACAGACATCGTTTGATGACGATTTTTTGTCACTCCTACATCTGGAGAAATATGACTATTTTCTAATATTTTATATTGTTTTGTTTCATCAATTAATCTAAATGCACTTGTCATTATCCAACGTTAAACGTATGATTTAATTACTTGAAGGAATCTGAAGGCAATAAATGAATAAAGCATCTGACATTTGAGGAATTAACAATGTTATTGCTATCTATGACACAATGTCGTTTAAGTTGTTATATGAAATTGATTTTTGATCATTTTTTTCTTTCATGTCGTGAAACTTTAAGTAGAAAATAAATCGATTTTAATGTTTTCAAATCACTTTTTTTAATTTGATTGTGTTTGATTTAAGCATTTTCGTTACTAAAATTGTTTCGTAAAATATATGGGAAAGACATAATTTGTTTAAAATTAGTGACAGCTTTCTTTATAACATTCTGTGTATAATTTTAACATATGATTTTAAGCGGTTATACAAACTCTACGTAAAACATTTTGAGGTTATTGATTCTATCACAGTCATTTTCTTTCTCTACAGTTTCTTGAGTTACTGGATATTCGCAACTTTTTGTATGCAATAACACTGTCTTTAAAAATAATTAAGTCTTGGTGTTGCTGTTCTTTATTATGCAAAAGTTTATTTGTTAGAAATATTATTAGCTTTTTGTGTAAATGTTTTATTTGTGAAAGGATTATCACAGTTTTTATATAAACTTTCTGTTGATACAAGGGTTAACACATCTTTTTTGTGTAAAAGATTTGTTTTTATAAGGATTATTACAACCCTTTTTGACGTAAAAGTTCTGTTGTTGCAAATATTAGCACAGTTCTTTTTAATTTCAAAGTTTCTTCGTTTGTTTTGCTTGATTTTACGCAAAGCTAATCGAAGGATATCTGTGCTAACTGTCCGTAACTTTTAAGTGATAAAGACTAAAGAGAAAACAGTACAAAAACACCATCCACCGCCAACTCTTGGGTTACAGTTAACCACTGAACCTAGTTCTGCCAAATTTGTTAAAAGTTCTGTTGTTACTAGGTTTAACACAACTTTTGTTGTTGTTGTTGTTGTTGAAGTATAGAGATGCAGCTAACCACTTGCTAATCATTTCCAACAATGGTTTTCCAACACAAATATGTTTCCCCCTTCTCTTCTTCTGAGATCGCCGGCGGCTCAGAGGTAAGTTTGAGGGCTTATACCACTACAAAACTGAGTTTCGATACCCTTGGTGAGCAGAGCACAAATACTCCAATGTGTATCTTTATGCTCTACAGACAACAAACAAACTTATTCTGATCTTATCTTATTGTGTTATCAGTAGCTTGTTCTGTATTTTTCTCATACATACATATATATATATTAACGTCAACTCTACGAAAAACAACTATATACTTTTAACTCAATTCATTAATTTATCCCATGCAATACAAAGTACAAAAAGTATTATTTTGAGAGGCGAGAAGAAATTTCATTAATTTAAAGTACCTAAAACTAAAGTAATAACTTCATTATAAGTTAATCAATTGTAAGCTGAGGTTTTGAACAGAAAGATTACACGGAACCCTTTTATGTAAACTTTCTGCTGTTCTAAGGATTACCACAGTTTTTATGTAAATATTCTCTTCTTACAACCATTATCACGCTTGGGGGATATCTGCTCTAGTTATCCCTAATTAATTTGATGAAGGAAACTATACAAAGAGCACATTTCTTATAATATTTTTTTTACTTCTTTATACATGTGGTCACATTTGATAATAGCTAAAAAATAAGGTGATATTTAATAGTAGGTAAATACACAATACTGAGTATTCTAAAATAAGGTTTTAATCCACTATTACGCAACAATAAAAACTTTATATGGATACAAGTTTCAACATCTTCACTAGTTTTCTTCAGTCCAACTGAAGGGGACACGTGGAAGTGTCGAAACTTGTATTCATATAAATTTGTTGAATCTAAACCTTATTTTAAGTTGATTTTTCTTCTTAATACTTCTTTCCACGCAGATTTATCAAATACTTTAGCCTTTTCTGTGGTTGTGTTCAATAGTGGATAAAAAAAAACTTATAAAAAAAGATAGCTTCCTGGATCTCAGTCTTCTCAAAAGAGCCAAAGATACACCTATAGCCACACCCTCTGTCTAGTTGACAGGCGCCCAAAGCAACGCGCTTCTCAGTCGGTACGAAGCCACGTGCGCAGTTATACGGTTGCTATGCGAGAGCAGACGATTCTCATGGAACAGGTAACTACAGCAAAGCCCTAAGATGTTATTTCTCACTATCGAGCAAAACAGATATTTGATGTATGGCACTGCTGGTGATTATTGTTTCTTGGCTTAGAAGATGGATATACTGAAATGAACCTGATGATACTCAAGAAATTCCAGAAACTACTTCAACGACAGGAATGTATTTGTAGATCAGAGCCAAGTTTTATCAAAGAAATGAATTTAGGTTTTCCAGGCTAGTAACTGACGCTAACGATTTGAAATCGGAAGAAGCAGCCTTTTTATGTTTTGTTTTGCTGTGGTATAGAAAAATAATGAAACAATACATTTTACTCATTTTTCTCAACTTCTTTATTCAAGCAGTCACAGTTGGTAATAGAGAAAAAAGTAAGTTGATTTTTTTATTATTGTTTATTTCAGACTAGAATTTCTTTAAGATTGCCTCTCAAGTTTGGAGAGTTACTTAATGAATTCCATTTTGTATCCCCCCCCCCCGTGGCACAGCGGCATGTCTACGGACTTATTACGCTAGAAACAGGATTTCCAATACCCGTGGTGGGCAGAGCACAGATAGCCCATTGTGTAGCTTTGTGCTTAATTTCAAGCAAACCGTTTTGTATTTTAAGGCTCTTGTGATTTCTAAGTTGTATTTTAGTTAATCGGATATTTGATCAGCTATTATAGACTACTATTATTTAAATAAGTTTTATATTGTGAAATACTGAAACGCGGCAGGATCTTATCTTTAGTTAAGTTTAGTTTTTGTTTTTATATGGTTATGTTTATTATATAAAAATATAAAATAAAGTCAGTTAAAGATAGTGATCTTTCAAAAATAGCATTTTTTGTATTTAGTGTATCCGTGTTTTTGAAACGTTATGTGTGATGGACGATTTGTAAGCTCAGAGAGCTGACTGAACAAAAAAGACCGATAATTTCATAACGTAATTGAATTATTTCTGTGTTTTAGTTCTTCGATTTTGTGTTCTTAGTTTACGCTAACGAAACTTCATCAGTATAATGTTTAATGAATATTGAAATTCTAAAGTAAAGTTGTGTTTATGTTAATTTTACATCGGATATTTCTTAAGAACAGCTATTATTCTACCTTGTCTAATCTGATACTTCGAATTGATGAGGAACGCAGACGATATCTTCTGCATTAGCGAGTGCAAATGAGCCTGAACTTAAGCCTATTTTAAGCTTATATGATTATTCTCTCGTCCGTGTAGCGTGTCCAATGAGAAGTCTTTCCCTATCATGGGTCAGAGTTTGCCTTGTGGTCCAAGGTTTGATACACGAAAGCCCACCGAACAAACTCCATACTTTCATCTGTAAAAGCATTTTAACTATGGCAGTTATTCCCACTATGCGATGAAAAGTAGCGACGTAGACGGTGTGTGCTGCAAACTGGTTGCATTTCTTCTGATCAGTATAGTTCTAAATTACGGCTGGCCGTACCTGAGCCTCAAAAATTTCTGTCCTGGCAGTTTAGTCTATACGCATAGGATGCAGTTCAGCTAAAAAAAATACCATAATCCCTAATTCATTTGTTGTGGTTTTGTGTAATACGTATTTTGTCTAGTTATTTTAGTTGCATGTTCCTATTTGTATTTTTACTGGGTTAATATTCACGTAATTTTAATTATCAGTCATTTACCAGAAAGTTCCATTCTATTAAATATATCTATGTTTAAATAATAAGCAATCGTTTGTACACATGATGGTGTGTGTTCATACATATATAAGCTTTTTATTTAGAAAGAAGTAGAAAATTAAATATGATCAATTTGTTCTTTACCAACTTCTCTTTGCTAGTGGTGACTTAACGTTTTTGCTCATAAGAAACTTATTCGAAGGGTAGTTTATGCATTCTGTTTTATAGTCTGCTGTTCCTTGTATACTAGATCAATTGTTTATGTGAAACCTATATCCTAGTTGTTTATTCTAATTGCGAACTATAGCCTAAGCAGTATTGAAATGTATCTATACATCTAAAATATCCCTGTGCTTACTACAAATAATACATTGACGACACCAACGTTTCGACATACGCAACAATTTATTTGTAAAAAGTTAAAACCAAAAATAGAAGCTGAAAAACTCTCCAAATTTCGGTGGAACATGTTACACCGTCTCGTGTATGTTTTTTTTTAGTTTCTATTTTTGGTTGTGACTTTGTATGAAGAAACTGTTGTGCATGGCGAAACGTTGGTTTTGTCAGCTTACTATTATTATTTTTATTAAAACTTTGCACAAGAACTATCAGTCTAACATACTGAGTCTGTGCTTCTTACTCGATTGGCTCGGCATAGTCACGTGGTTTGGGCGCTTGACTCGCAATCTGATGGTCGCGGGTTCGAATCTCCGTTACACCAAACATGCTCGCCCTTTCAACCGTGGGGGCGTTATAATGTGACGGTCAATCCCACCATTCGTTGGTAAAAGTGTAGCCCAAGAGTTGGCTGTGGGTGGTGATGACCAGCTGCCTTCACTCTAGTCTTTCACTGCTAAATTAGGGATGGCTAGTGCAGATAGCCCTCATGTAACTTTGCGCGAAATTCAAAACAAACAAACAAACTTACTCGATCTAATTACTCAAATTGCAACAGTTTACGAATTAAACTTTTAAGAATAAAGGGTAGTTAGGTCTTTATCTTCTTGAAAAATTGAAAATATTTTAAAAATTAGTCTTGAAATAGAGAAAACTTATGAAATTTCAACTCGTATAACCTGACCAAGCAATGGCCTAAAAGTCGCTTAATCTCTCTTGATGGGGAGAGGGGGGGGGACAAAAGATTGTATTACACATATTTCAAAACAGTTTATGTAATTTAAAAAGAAGTATGATTTTCAATGATCATGGTTTTGCTGGTTCAGTAGAAAATATATTCATGTAACCAAGTGCTACAGTTCACTTATACAGTATAGCTAGTGTTACACTCGCCCAAGTCGCAGCCAAAGTAACTAGGGGCCTATAGCCAATAGCAACAGTTTACTTATACAGTCTAGAAGGGGCTACTCCCGCCCATGTCATAGCCAATATAACTAGGAACTATAGTTAAGCGCAACAATTCATTTATACAATCTAGGTAGGGCCATGCCCACCCAGGTCACAGCCAATGTAACTATGGGCCTATAACCAAACGCAGCAATTCATTTATACAGTCTAGGTAGAGTCATGTTTGCCTAGCCAATGTTACTAGGGGCACGTGTAAAGGAGCGAAGGAGTAAGGAACAGAGATGGAAATTGTTTGTACAACCCAGCATAACTCGCCAAATAGCACACACACACACATATATACAGTATATGAATCTGTTGCAAATAAAACAAAGTAAACCATTTTACTTTGAACGTAGAAGTAGTGAGGACAAATACACGTACGTGGACTAGCCCTACGTCTGCTGTGAAGAGTTACAAATATTTGCACCCCCCCCCCATTCCTCCAAGGAAGAGTGTTTTACCAAATCACCTATAAGTATCCTTATAATTAGTCTCTTTTTTTTTTTCATTTAGCTTAGCGGTCAACGAAATTGAACAAATGAATAGATTTTGATGTAACTCGGTCTTGGCTTTTACTTCTTAAGTACTTTTTATGACTGGCAAAGCTACCTGATAACTAATTTAACTTAATTCGCTAAGTATATTACATTGGGAAATTTGAAGGTGTTTTTCATCATATTAAATTATTTTAAGTCATTAGTTTTAAACATCTTCACTAAGCCATACTAATATTTTTTTTATTCGAGAAACACTAAAGTAAAATTAGTTCTTTCAAAAATCATCAGACTAGACCAATTTTTTTTCACAAATTTTATTATCTAAAAGGTTAACAGCCTTTCTGCTAGATAAGATTAATGACACTGTCAATCTTTATTTTACTGGATCCAAGCAGGTTAAGAATGAATAACCTTTTATTTAAGAGGTAAGACCAATTTTCAAAGTATGTCTAATATATCTAATAAAGTAAAGTAGATTCAGCTAGAAGAAAACTGTCTTTGAGTAATGTCAACTGATAAATCTGTTTGTTTTTCAGCAAAGAACGTAAATATAACTTTATTAGAAAGATCAAAACCTTAGTCCAACAAGAAATTTCTTACGTGATTTACTTCACTCAAATTTGTCTTCTGTAGACCAACATCGACTAGTTATATGATATATAACAATATGTACATAAGAAAAAAATAAACCTTCGTCTCTTTTATCCATTAGAACATTCAAGTAAGAAGAGAGGCTACGCCCATTCCTTTAATCACTTTTCTGAAAGTTCGAACAAATGATGTTTAGTCTAGTTAAGTACTAGTTTCCAGTTATCAATTGAATAACCACGTGTAATGGGTGTTTACACTACTTTTCATATACAGTTGCTCTTCGTAATATAATACTGCCACCTAACAGGGCGTTTTCTCAAAAGTATATTTAATTACGTAAACCTTAAAAGTATTATTATAGTGGGTGTGAAGGGTGGTCAGAATATCAAAATGGCTACGTGAGTACAAGTTCTTGTGGCCCTTTGGGAAAATTGTGATTTCATTGGCCAAAAAAAAAATGGATTTGTGGTCAAATATAACCTATAACTTTTAAGTATTTGTTTATTATTAAGCACAAAGCTACACAATGGGCTATCTGTGCTGTGCCCAACACGGGTATTGAAACCCAATTTTGGCGTTATAATTCTTCAGCCTTACTGCTGAGTCACTCGGGACAACGTTTAGGTATTTTTTCTGGCATGGAATCGATTTTCTGCAAATAGTGCTTCGTCGTCGTCATTTATAGCTTAATATTTTACCCTTATTACTAATTCCATATTTAAATCAAAGTATCGCTATTTAGATTAAAGATAAGGTTTACATAATGCGGTAAAAATAAAGAAGTATAAGTGTTTCCCTCCATGTGTCATTGTTAGTAGCAGATTAAAGCAAGTTAATATAGAAGTTCATTGAAGGAAACCGCTCAGAAACCAGTGGTTTCATTAAGTAGAGTGGTATCTGTGAGTTCCCCAAGGACACATTAAATCTTAGAGCCGACGTGATAAAGAGGAAATAAGCACGTAAACTATGCTTCCAAGCAAATAACTACCGACATTGTGAAACGGGAAAGATGTGTTGAAAAAACTTTACGTGCTCTGTGCGGAAAATATGAGGTCCAAGCATTTTCTTGGATTAATGTTCACAAGTCCGATAAAGGTATTTACAAATTTTATTGTTTGTCTGTAACAAAGTAGTAACATTAGGAACATTGAACAAAAAGGTTTGGGTATTTGAGGTAAGAGTAAATATTGTTCTCAGAAAAGGTTAAATTATTTCAGTGGGTCATTTTCTGGGTCGTCACGTGACGAATCGACACTTTACTTTCACAAATAAAGTCACATGACATAACTTGCAGTACGATCGAAAACAGATATTGGAATAGTCTGCTTTAAAGTGATTAATTGTTGAATTCAAGATTGAAGGTTGAAAGAAATAGGGCTAAAAATTTTATCATCTTAGAAGCTTTTATAGCTTAAAGCTAACTAAATATTATTTCTCTCTATAGTGAACAAAATATTGCTGTTATCATTATAAATGTTTTATTTATCAACGTTCTGAAGTTTCCGACTCTACACTTCCGATAATACTGAGGCCACCTATATTCATATAAAATACTGCCTCATTCTTACTCATCTGAATTTAGGTTTAACAAATTTCTGAATTACAGGCTTGACATTAATGTTTACTTAATTTTGTTTGTTTGTAATTAAGCGCCAAGCTACAGAATGCGCTATTTGTGCTCTGCCCACCACGGGTATCGAAACCAGGTTTCTAGTGTTGTAAGTCCGCAGACATACCGCTGTGCCACTGGGGGGGGGGGGGGGGAAATTAAATTTTGTTTCCATATCCATTGTTAATAAAAATAGAAGCTGCCTGGCTTCCCAATTGTCCAAATCACTGAAAAAATAACGACAATATTCCTTCTCAGACGTGTTTCAAAAATATATTTACCTATTCTGAACCTATATATTCCCCCCAGTGGCACAGCGAATGAGTCTGCGGACTTACAACGCTAGAAACCGGGTTTCGATACCCGTGGTGGGCAGAGTACAGATAGCCCATTGTGTAGTTTTATGTTTAGTTGTAAACAAACAAGTTGAACCTATATTTCACTTTTTTATAAATATTCTCTTTCTCTAATTTTTAACTTTTATTACTCTATTTCTAATATTTTGCTAAAATTTATTATTATTATCATTATTATTATTATTATTATTTATTATTTTTGTCAGCCTTTCCTGTTTATTTTAATATAATTTCGAAACTTACATCACTTAATCTATTTTTCTTTACACGACGATTTACTTATGAAATGACACTTCATACATTCTGTGAAGTAGACCCCGTTTCTCATATCGCTTCAACTTAAAGGCATAAAGTTTTATTTAACACTGACTATTGATCGTTAATAGTATACATGTTTTTAGTCTATAGAAGCTGCAACTTAAAGGAAGTCCACGTGTTATAGAAAACGCTGACAACGAGACCCCCTTAGCTTATCAAAGACAAAAAGAAGAAAAATTAGTAATGGCCTTTTAATTACAAGCAGATCGGGATAAAACTAATGGCTTGGTTTTCACACGTGAAACTTAGTCGTTCTAATTAGTTAGTGGTTAATCTTCCTTATAATGCCATCGTGAAACTCATACAATATTTCGCAATCATAATTACGCTTGGCTTAAAAAAAAAATATATATATATATATATAATTACGTTGAAAATACATTGATAATTATAATTAGGTTGGAGAGAAGTGCTTCCTTTCTTTTTTTTTTCTTCCATAAACTAACATCAAGAGTTGGGTTTTCTCCATGGTAGACTAGAGTTGGTTTATTATAATCAAAAACTGTGAATATGCTTGTTAGAAAGAAAGTAGCAAAGAACATTACGGAATATAAAACGTTATAATAATGTTCGTGTTTATCACTCAATTGTTTCCAGAAGAAGTTTGTGTAATCTTCTATTAAGGGGTCGAATTAGCGTTTTAAAATAACTGGTTATTGACTTATATACTAATTTCTGTTATTGATATGTATATTTAAAGTACTAATGCCACGAACTAGCTTTAACTTACTCAATGCACAACTTCAACTATGCTGACTTTAAGTGATGAATTTATAGAAAAACAGATTTTTATAAAAGAAGGTTGCTCGTTCGTTGATTTGTTATAACGTACTTCAAGAGTAACAGTACCCTCGTTAATACGTTGTTCATGTTTAGTAACATAGATCAAGGAACGTTTATTTGAAAACCGCATCTCCTTATTCAATAATGAAAACGTTCTGTATTCTATATATATGTGTGTGTGTGTTTATGTATGTATGTGTGTTATCAAATTACGTGTCTCACATATTAAAGAGAGATAAGGATAGTGCAATTAAAAAGAAAATGATTAACTTACCCATTGCTACATTCTCGGAAACAAAGATAATTTGACGTATTAATATTTTCATGAGCTTTAAAAAGTATTCAGCTATTAATATAGGGACATAAGAAAATGACAAAGAATTATCCGATGATTATCGTATTTATGATAAACTTGTGTTAATATTGAATCCATAGACTACAGACTTGATTGCACTTTATGCAATTACAGTTTTAGCTGACAAACAGTATAAGAAATAAATGAATACGACATTCCATTCATTGTTTTCTATGGTTACCAAGATCGTTGCTAAGTTCACATCGTTGGATATTATAAACTTCTGTTTGTTGAAATTCACGTAAATGAAATATCTTAATCAAGTTACATTCCTTCCCAGTTTTTCAATTTCATTTACCTTAGAAACTGCTGTAAGAATGTTATCAACTAAAATAAAACCCTTTATTCATCATGGTTTAAAATAAAATACGCTCGAAGTTGTTGTATAGCTTTGCTGGTGTTTTGATTGATATTGTCTGATGACACCATCACTCCTCATACTGTAAAAGGCATGTAGAATAACGCAACTTCTACGGTGAAAGGCACGTGGTTAAAGAATAAATACAGTAGGTTATTATCTTTTTTTAGAATGTGTTTAACTTTGGAGACTTTGATAGAAACACAAGATTAGAATTTTTCTCATACTTTCCCAAAGTTCATGTTACTAGTTCCAATTAGATTAAACGAAACAGAAAATCCTCTTGTATCAAAATCATCTTCACATCCATCAAACATGTTCTCTCTCTCACTCTTTTTTCTTATTCTTGCTCTATTCAAAAATAACTCATCTGAATGATACGTTTATGCAATAGAGAAGCATGCCTACAAATAAGTTAATTAACTCCATCTCTTGGTTGTAGAAGTATTATTTGTATCTTTTTTTGGGGGGGGGGGCTTGCAATATGAATAAATTGCCCAGCACCTCCTCTTGGTGACTAAAATGTAAGCTTAATGGCTTATAGTCCTAAAATTCAGGATTCGATCCCTGCGGAGGGCACAACGTACCTAATAATAGTGAGTGTCTCTGACTTATCTCAACATAATTATTACTAGATTATCAATTGCCAAAGTCTGCCAATAATGTGAATGTTTATTGGAAGCTTGAACGCTTTGTTTATTTTCTGTTGCCAGATCCCAGTTCATCACTAATTATTCTGGACTTGCTTTTTAAGAGTTGTTTCCTTGATTTGGTTACAAAGGTATTTCTTGTAAAGTGCATGTATGTGTAGTGCAGATAACGATATTGGTATCTTAAACCTAAATGGCGCTTATACGCATTTATTAAACAGACTGGTCAAAGACCACAAGGCTCAGGCATGACCCTCCCCTAACTTAGAACTGCTAGAAAAAGGGAAACCACTCCGTAGTATCCGCTGACTATTCTTAACGAATAGCGGGATTGATTGTCACTTTTACAACGCTTCAGAGCTGAAAGTGCGGAGCGTGTTCAGCGACATATTGCAGACTTAGAGACACTCGATACGCAGCCCGTCACGCTATTCACTAACTTACAACACCATACAAATAGCAAAATAATATATTTCAAGTAGATGCATATGTACGTGTGCAGCCTGTTTGAATTTTTTTTTTCTAGAATCAAATCAATCTGAAACAAATGTCCAACATTTCGACTCTTCTGTAGCTTAGACTTTTTCTTCAGGTTTCAGGCATGCGGTAAGGAATAGAGGGTCAGTTATAACGTGGATATTACAAGAAACACGATGGTTATGTCTAGTTAACTTACCAGATCCCAACTGAACATTGATTATTATGGATTTTGCCTTATATACCATATTTGTATCAAAATATAACGGGCCATAAGTACGTTTCATATGTATTTACGAAAGATAAACTTCAATACCTTTATTTCAATAAAATAAGTTTTAACAATAGTATTTATTCTGATTCTACTAAATAAAATTTGTTCGTGTTTGTTTATGGCTATAATCACAATAATGTTTAGGTTCATGAAGCCTTAGTATAAAACGATAAAACCCCTCTCACCCCTGAAGAGAAAGGTTCAACTTTCGAATCCGCTCGCGTTTTAGGGTTTTTATCATTTTATAATGTTTAGGTTGTTATGGTTTATATCATATCTATAAAACACAAACTTATCGATATTATTTTGGACATGTATAAGCCTTTCTTGACATCGGTCAGCATCTGAATACCTATGTTCATGTGTATAAATATGCATACGATTATTTCAACTGATCATAAATCGTAATTCATTTTTCCCCTTTGCTGAAACGCCAGCAATTAGGCCACAGTTTACCACTGAGCCGCCATTCAAAGTTGTCTTCTCCAACAAGAAGGGTGTTCGTATCCCTTGCTCAGCCAACGGCGATCCCCGTCCCCTCATCTACTGGGTCAACTTAGATGGCTCTCCTATCACAAACATTGCCGGTATCCGAATGGTTGAACCTGATGGTCATCTGGTTTTTCTGTCGTTTTTTCCAAACCAGTACCGAGACGATACCCATAACACAGTCTACCGTTGCGTGGCCAGCAACCATAGGGGAATGATTGGAAGCAGGGCTGTTAACGTGACTGCTGGTAAGGAAAAATTGCCGTCTAAGATTTCTAATTCACGTAACTGTTTTCTGATTGTAAACTAATGCCTTAAAATTACCAAATTATGATATATTTTAGTCATATTTTACGTTTTTAGCCCTAAAAAATCCAGATTTAAACTTTGAGCATCAACAGTTGAAGAGAACGTTAATGAGTAATATCATTTGTAAGTTGTTTCTTTATGATAAATTTTTCGAAATGAGAAAATGGCTATCAATCATAGCTACAGTATATTAAATATAGAAAAGTGATTTACAAATTACCTACGAGTAAAGAATTGTCATAAGTTTAGAATGTGGTAAAAGTGGTCCATAACGTCGTTTTCGATATCTAAATTCAAGATAATTGCGTCACTTCTTGTGACACCCAAAATATTTTGATCTATATTCACCTTTTCTTACATTTTTGGGTAACAAAATAATGGAAAACTAGGTATTAACGAAAAGAAACATAACAAAGAACAAAAGTTGTGCTTCATAATACTTTATTGTTTTCAAAGCTCTTGAGGTTCAGCTAAATAGTTCATGAACTGGCTGACAAAAATAAGACTTGTTTAACATCAACGTTGTAGCACATGTTGTATTATTTATAAATGTGATTAAAGGATGTTCTTATCAGTAAGAAAAAAGTCTAGTTGATATAGCAGTTTAATTTTCTATATTTTTAGACATCAAAGTTGAAAAAATCTTCAGTGTTGTGTAGTTTTAGACCAAAGAAAAGTGCCAACAAAATTTGGTTGTTGTGTTGTTTTTTTCATTTTATAATTATTTTTCCTTAAGTTTTATCGGTCTTCAGTAGTTTTGGTTTCATTTTATAAATTATGTTGAGTTTATTCTTAATCATTTTGCCAGTTCACTGTCTACGGTCTTATAATATATTATCGAAAAACGTTGGATAAATAAAGTAAACATCGAACGACTATAATAATATTTATCCTTTTTTTTACTTGTAACAAGGAATTGCAACTTCCGTAAATACACTAGTAGTTATTTTCTTTGGAAAAGCCACGTTTTGACAAAGAATTGGGGACTACAACGTGAGGGTTTTACCAATAGGACTGAACTACTACTTCAATTCTAGTAACTTGTTTGTTTATTGTTTAAATTTGCTAAGAGTCTCCCGGTGTTTCTGAAAGTATTTATTCTGGTGGTTCATTTGTATTTAAAAGTGTTTACTATTAAGTACAAAGCTGCATAGTGGGCTATTTGGGCTGTGCCAATTGAAGGGATTGAAACCCGAATTTTAATGTTGTAAGCTCTCAAGCTTACCTCTGAGCTATCGAAGGGTATTTGAAAATTAATAATCGCAAAGTCAGAATTTTTTTTATTATTACTTATCGTTTATAATTCACTTTGATTAATGATAGAAAGTTAAAAAAGTTTCGCTGATATTAAAGTTGTTACATATTTGTTCTTCCAGTAGTTATTTCATAATAGTAATTTTAAGTTAACTATTTAAGTCAGTCAAAAGTAAATGGATCGAAGTATTTCACTTGATAATATTCAGATGGAAAAATGTTACCATTGTGGAAGAATTAACGCTGATGGAAAAATTCCGAGATTTCGCAATTCTAAAAATAAAATCGAACAACTTTTGTATTTTATTTTTTTGCCTTCTTAGCTGCCCCCAGAGTGGTAAGTCTTTGGACTTATAACGCAAAAAATCGGGTTTCATTACCAACGGCGGGCACAGCACAGACAGTCCGTTGTTTGGCTTTACGCCTAACAACAACCAAACAGAAAAACTTCTTAGCTGCACCTAATACTGATGAAAAGAGACAAAAAGTACTTGGATTTCTAGCGAGTAAATTGCTAAACTTCACGAAAAAAATTCGTATTTTTCTTAATTTATATAATATAATATGATGTGTTGTACAAATTGCGATAAATATTTCCACATGGAAACCATTTAACTTACTCGATCATAAAATCCCCAGCCTTACATTTCTCCTATTTCAACGCTCTTTGGTGATAAATACATTAATGTGATATTTTATTATGATCTGCGTTTTAAAACATTGAGTATACATTATTTACATTCGTGGGTATAAAGTCTTAATATATTGCTAGTTCGAAAGACACTGAACGCAAAACGTGGATATTTAATAACAAATATCCCGTTCATTCTGTTCAAACTGAATATAGATTCACCATATGGCTGATATTTTGCAAAAAGAACGAGAAATCATTATTTTTAGACAACAATACCCCGATCAATTGAGGACTGCAATTTTTAACAATATTAGGTTTCGTCAACTTGACTAATATGGACAACTGCAAGTAAAGTATACTCACAGAGCCAAATCGCGTTTGAGATGTTGGACGTACGAAGTGGAATAGTGGATCTGACTTCACTCATCTTAAATAGTAAATGTATATTTCTTTCTTTTTGAACCTCGGTAGTATATATATTTTTGCTCCGAAACGATAGGATAAAATGGTGGTTGCCAGCTTGCTCCGATATGCTATTTTTTAAGCCGCAAAATAAAGTACTAATTTTTTTTTTAAACGCAGATCTTAACATAAACAAATGTGTTCTATTATATACCCTGATGATCAATACTTATATCACGGAACTAGTCTAAAACTTGTGTATATTAAACAGTTCCTCACACTTCTCTAAACCTGATGACTGTCAACATAAAATTATATCTTATTACAAGTGTTGTCTAGATGCATATACTAATATACTCAGTATAACAAAAGGATGTTCTAAAGTAAATGTGTGCTTCTTTCCCAGTTTATTTCACCAAATTTTTGTCGCATTACGGTGTGTGTGTGTAAACTGAAAGTAGGTCAGCATGACCAGTATGTATATTCTTCGGTATTTAATTTCTGAAAATTTGTTTTGAAACAGTTCCTTGATTATTCGAGTTCTTTATACTTGTTTAAATATGTGTAGTATCTTAGAAATATCTTACTTAAAAAAGTTGGACTGGGCATGGCCTAGTGGTTAGTATGTCGTTTATGAATCTAAGGGCCTATTGTTCGTGTTCTTTTATCGGAAAATCGTGTTCCCCACTTTTGAGCCGTATGTGTAATATAAGAGCGGCGGTCAAATTTCACTATTCAATTGAAAAAGCGAAAAAGTTGGCGGTAGGTCCAGTTAACGAGCTTCCTTCCCTCTAATCTATTAGTTCAAAATTAAAGAGACCTAGCGCAGATAACCCTTGAGTAGCTTCATGCAAATATCCGAAATAAATATGTTTAACGGAGTTTCAGCTTTTAACTTTTTTACTCACGAAGTAACAAAAGGTTCCTTTCAATAGAATTTCTTATGTTAAAGTGTTAGATTCATTGCATAACCAAACACCCTTTTAATTAACACTTCTTTTGATAATGTCTTTATAGAAACTGTTTTAAAATAAGCAGTTTAATTTATAATACAAATAATTTATCCAGGAGGCAAAATTTTCATTTCTTCCTAAGATAACTGACATCAATAAGGGTGGATACCATCGCCGTAAAAATAAAATAAATAGGAATGCTACTGAGGACTGCTTGCCTTTATGCATCCTAGCCTGCAGAAGGCTGTCCTCGTCACGGTATTTTCAGATTTACTTCGAAGAGGGAGCTTGAAAGCATCAAAAGTTTTATAGTTTTGTATTGTAAAGAAGAGAATCACGTCAACTGGTACTTCAGAAGACCGGCTATCCACTAGACAGTTTCGGATTGATTGAAGCAATCAAACGTTTCCTATTCGAAGTGAGCCTAGAATGTAGATAAATGCGCATACATCCATACTTACAAAAGAAATTTCGAAATATATATATATATAGACGTATATTATTACATTCAGAGAGATAAATCCGTAGAATTGAGCACTTAAAGAATAGCTTGTTTTTTGCTAAAGTAATACTGCTGGAAAACATCTTATAGTTATGGGCCGGCTCCAGTTTTCTAACATATTTAAATACGTGTTATTTTCAAGCAAAGTAACACTGTGAATCAACATGAAACATTACACCAATCCATGATGCGACTAAATGGATTCAGGCATTTTTGAAGGGATGTCTTTTTCTCATCAGAATCACGCTTTACCTCGGTTGAGCGTTTTGGGGTTGTACTTTGAATTGCTGTATTTGGATATATGTATATTTATATTTCGTAAAACATGCGCTGATACTGTTTGCAAAAATTTTCAAAAGACAAACAGAGAAGAGAGAGGGAACGACAAAAAATTACGTATGGTGACTTTTTAGTTTGTTGAAAACCATACTTTTTAAACGTCTATACTACACGTAGCCCTCTCTCTCTACCATTTCTCTTCTGTCAGAAAATAGGTTTCATTCACTTTTTTTGCCGATTCCTATTGAACGAGTGATTTCTTTTTCTGCCTGGGACCTCCTCACACATACATGCTACCATAGATTTTTGTTTGTGGCTTCAGTATTTCAACCCGTAAGTTCAGGTTGTCTAAGTAGAAAACAGGATTTAAAAACCTTATTCGGTAAGTGGAATCCTTCCATATCGGAAGACATTGGCTAAACTTTATTTGTAAAACCCTATGGAATTTTTTTTTTCAAGTAATCGCCCACCAGGGGTTGAAAACAAGTAGATAAAAAAAATCTTCCTTAGATTAAACGAAAATTGCTTCGTCTTAGATATATATATATATATATGTGTGTATATATATATATATATATAATATTGAGCGGTATATCGAATTTAAGCGCCTTGTTACTACAAACGAGATAAACGTGTACGCGTTAAAAGCCTTTATCGATTCAACAAAATTTTTACCGTTTTTTTCACTTCAAAATTTCTCTTAAACACAACACACTCTTGAAGCTTTCGTTGCGGGAATTAAGAGGCTTTAACGCACACGTTTTGTAATTTAAACTTTATATATATGGATAAACTATGCTCAACCCAATAAAATATCTATTTCACGAAAGCATATATCCATAATAGAAGATGTATTTACCAAGTTCCTCTTCTGCCACTATCGTTATTCTTATTTGTGATATTTTTCCCGCTGTG